GTGATTGACTGAATCATTGCCCTTTGCTCTTGTGGAATGCCTAGGATTAAATGTTTGTATTTCATTATGATTCAATAGTTCATAATTTTAAAGATATAGACATTTATGTTATTTTGAGTCCAAAATGTCATAAATTCACATAAAAAATGTTTAGGTAAATGAACACAATTATTTGTTAGGCATAAATGTCATTCAGGTGCCCAAGGTTGTGTAAATGTTCCTTTTGTATAGGTAGGTAGATCTAAATGCCATTCTCACTGACACACACAAAATACTACTTGCTCAGTGACAGTAGATAGTAATCGCATTGTTTTTTTGCTAAGCAACATCAGCCAAAAGAATATAAACACCATTAGACTGAAAATATGATTGATTTTGTTTTACTGGCACATATCCAAAATTGCAACAGACATCTATTTAGACAAACATTTTTGTCTCAATTTTCATGTGAAAATATTCTTCTCGTTGATGAAATTCTAGAAATGAGAATTTTGTGATGCAGTTAATAGCAAGCCATACACTCAATCTTTCAGAGAGAGAGAGAGAGAGAGAGAGAGAGAGAGAGAGAGAGAGAGAGAGGGGGGGGGGGGGGGAGAGAGATTGCTTTAACTTAGTAGCCCCCATCCAATTTGCAGAAACCTCACAGTTCTTTCCTTCTCAATAGTTCTTAAGCACTGACAGATGGTCCATCATGCAATTTCTACTAATAATTCATATTTTCTTTTCCAAAGACATAGTAATTGCCAATTGAGCTTCTGATTGCTGTGATAACAGTGCTAACACCTTGAATTTATACTATACAACCAGAAGCAAAGAAACATGAAGTGTTAGCTATCAAATACAGTCATACTTCAAAGAGCCCCATGAGTTCCACCAGCTTAAATAAAACACTGAACAAGGCTACAGACTCCCATTTAGGCCTTCATGAGTCCCCCAGAACCAGAATGCCCACAGTAAGAACAATTTTGTATAGATCAAAATACAATTATTTCTTGCTAATGGATTTCAAATTCAGTCAGCTTCTTCAACAAATGGAAATCATCATAGTGGGGCAAGTTTAAAACTTAACAGAGCAACAGAGTCACCTTCTAGCTATCTGTGACTTGAGAGTGCAGCAGCCACAGAAGCAATGTGAAAACTCCAAAAGTGGCACTCACACAATGAAACCAACACAATTAGATGGGTCAAGCTGATGTTAGTCAGCCTGGAGTTATTATCTTTCCCTGTGTCTTCCTTAACTTCATGTAAATATGTCCCTTTCTACTCCACTTGTCTTGTTTTTTCCCTTAATCTCATTGCCACAAGGTCAACTCTGGTCATTGGCACAATGTGCTATGGACTGAACTTATTCTAACTTTATGGTTAAGTCCCAACCCTCATACCTGATGATCTGACTTCTTTGGATATCTAGTCTTTGAGAGAGGAAACAGAGTTAAAATGCCGTCATTGGAATGACAATCCAACAGTACTAGTGTCCTGGTAAGAAATTTGGGGCGGAAGGTTTAGCTTAGAGTGTTTATCATGTGGAGATCTAAGGATTCAACCCCCACTATAACACTCATGACCACCAAAGAATGAAGAAAAAGGAAAAAGAAACTTTGAACATAAACATTCAGAAGATAAAGCAAATAAAGACACAGAGAGAAGACAGCCCCCTACAAACCAAGGAAACAGATGGAATCAACCCTCTATATGCCTTCATCTCCAATTTCTAGCCTCTAAGCCCATGAGGTAATACATTTCTATGTCTTAGGCACCATTTTTTTTCATCTTTTTAAATTTTGTACTTGTTATGGCAACCCTAGCCGACTAATATTCCTAGGAAGCACAAAGCAGATGAAACTTGTTCTAATCTTGGAATCTTGGATGACTGCTGCTGCCATAAGCTGAAGAACAAGACATTTGATATATAATCAAGAGGCAACGGAAAACATTTTACTACTAACCACCCCTCCCATTCAGGAATCAAATGGGATTATAGCCACCTGGAGGAGTGAGGCCATCATCCTTGTCATCACTATCATCTTTGTGGCATTTTGTTGACTAGTAAAGTCTTCTACAGATATGTAGCCATAAATTGAGGGGGTTTTGGTAAGGGTTAAGTATCCAGAAAGGAGAGAAAAGGCAGGAGTGAGCCTCTGCAGCAGAAGGGGTGTGTAAAATGTGCTAAAGGACAGGGAATCACAGGAACCAAAGAGATGCTGATCGCTTACAGGAACCAAATGCCCCACACACATCATGGGTACCTACTGGCAACTGGCAGCCCCAGAGTTTCATCTGATGTTCACTTCAAATATTCACCAGGCAGGGCTAGCAATTTCCTCTGTCAGGAATCAGAAAGAAGCCTGTAGCTGGGCTCCTTATCTCCTCAGGAAAGAAAGTCCTTCTCCCCATAACTACCTCTAGCTCACAGCTCTGAGCATCACTCTCCTATGTCATACAATAGACCGATGGACAGATAATGTCTCTTCTGAATACACAGAGCAAGCGTGCTAACATTTGCAAAGTAAATATCCATTACTGCCACCCACAAACTCCACAGACTTGAAGCTGACTGCACTGTTCTTTCCTGATCCTTTGCAGGCTCCATCACCCAAGTGTTGGTTCCTTGTGCAATGTGGAAAAACAACAGCCACTGGCACAGATGACTTCTATTAGCCAAATCAAATAAAACAAACGTCTTGAAATTCACTTGATACCAAAGGTAAGGAGCAAGCATGGCATCATAGAATAAAATCTTTATACAAACTTTGTAAGAGAAAGCATGTACTTAAAATTATGCCATTTGGTAATATCTAAACATGTGACATCCTAGCGTGTGGAAAGACTGCCTAGAAGTTAAGAATGAAAAGTCAGGCTGGACATGACTCAATTAGTTTGCTGTGCAAGTATGAGGATCAGAGTTTGGATTCCCAGCACCTACATAAAAGTTGGGTACTGTGGTATATCCAGGTAATCCCCATGCTTTTAACCTTAATATTTAACCTTAATATTTTCTGTTTCTTTTGTCACTATTACCCCCTCTCCCAGAATTTGCAAACACATTCTCTCTATTCAATACCAGGGTTTGCAAGCAGGAATCAAACAAAAGATTGCCCTCCTCCAAAGGAAAACACAGGTCCCTTGCTTCTAATACTCGCATTGAATTATGAAAACAGAAGTTTGGGTTCTTCTATATCTGTGATTTCAGGTGCAGGGATAGCTCCTCTGGGAAGTGTCTCAGCTCTATTTTTATGGTAAAATAATTCTTCAGCTCACCTCACAAAGCTCTTCTAAAGTGCCATGGAGCTCTATAAACAGAACAAGCAGCAAATGTTATTAATTTAAAAATAACTATTTATCTTTGACTTTATAAGACCCTGATTATCTTATGAACACAAACCACTTAAGAGAATTGTGCTGGGAACCCAAAACATCTAGAGATCTGTCTGGAAGCCTCTCCAGCACACAGGAGGGCATTTTGAGGATAGTATTCTCGACTCTATAATGTATCTTCTGAGTTTGGGTCCTATGGCATTTTCATTAAAGTTCTCAGAGGGCTGAAACCAAAGAATGTGGTATATTTGAAGCTACTCTCTGCCCATGAGCCTTGGAGATAGTAGATTCCCTAATCTTATATAGGCCAAAAATGAAATCCAAAGGGGGCACGTGCATGACTTGTTTTAGTCATGCACTTGAATAGCAGCCAAGTCCAAATGGAAACCCATTTCCTGACTAAATCACAAAGCTGGTAACACAGTTTACACACTATCTGTAGATCAGTTCTTCCCGGCTTTACATGTCACTATGCTCCACATGCCGGAATCCACCCCCCTCATTAATGTGCTTTTCACACATGAAGTCCAGGAGTCAACAGATTTACAGGGGATTACAATTACGAAAGTCTTCCTTCCTGGCTTCCAACCTCTTCTTTAGGATTTGCAGCAGGATGCCCTCTGCTGTGGGGAGGGGGTGGGCAAGAGGGATGCCTTTGGCATGTTAATTAAGTCAAGGGCCAGGGTCAGACAAACCATAGGTGGAAATGGGGTTGTTTGTAAATGTAGTCCGAAGTACATTTCAAAGGTTCCTAACCCAGAAGCAGACATTATACCCTGCACACGCCCAGCACATGCAAGCAGGGCAGAACCTCAAAGCAAACTTAAGTCCCAGTAGGCCAGAGCTGGAGTTCAAGTGGAGTCTGAGGCTTAAAGCCTAAGTTATAGAGTAGAATTGCTTAGTCTGGTACAAGAATTTGCATGTTGTTAGCTTCCCTGCCTTCAACTCATTATTTAGACATTCTCTGTCTCAGTTCCTTCTTCTTCATAAAACAGAAATAGATCACCTATCTCCTAGCAGGATACACAGTCCCAGTAAATCACTGCACTAAGACTAAGGAAGTCTTAGCCTGGGACCCAACACAGAGGATCAAGAGAAGTATAATTCCTTATATTCCTCTCAGATTAAAACACTTTAAACCAGAAACTGGGCTTCTCGATATTGCTTTTCACCGTGTTTTGACAATTAGTAAGCAAAAAAAATGTTTTCTTATGATATTTAAGAGACCAGATCTGGCAGAGTAGCTTATGTAAATGATGGTCTTTCTTAATTAGCCAATTACTAAAGACTATGTCCCAAGTGGCAGGGTAAATTACACTGTGTTTGAAAACAGGTTGAGACCTTTACTTCTAAATTAGGAGCAATGAATTCGTGTTGACAGTATAGCCAATAACTTGCAGCTGTTCTCCTGGTGTCACGGCTTCAGTCTAATGAAACCCTTTTACAGCAAATATCAGATCACTCAATACGGACTGGCCACACTAGTCTTATAAGGACTACCGCAGCACTGAAAAGAGGGCATGTTACAGGGGTGCCCAAACCACCACTCCCCATCTCAGAGAACCAGGGAGAACCTTCCCTTCAAAGTGTGTCAGGGGAGGGGGTGGGGACGGCTGTCACACAATCAAAGCCATTCTGTCCCTTCCTGGAAAGTGTCAAGTCGCCCGCAGGCGCTTGCCTCTTACCACGAACTCCTCCAAAGTCTGGTAGGTCTTGCCTCGGAACTCGCAGTAGTTCTTCCTCTCCTTGCACTGTGGACAGCACTGGCTAGTGTCGACGTGGATGCAGCGCGGGTGAAGCCGCGGGCACTCCGGCTGCGCGCAAAGGGGACCCTCCTCGGTACACAGACACGGGCAGGCTGAGGGACCCGGGGCGAACTTCTCTCCGATTGCATACACGAAGCCACTCTCGTCCACGCAGCCCTTGCCGCGGTAGTCTGGGTAGGCGTATTCCTCAGGCAGCTCTGGTGTGGGCACGAGTTCTAGGCTGATCGCTTCCTGG